CCTAAACGTAGTATAAAGGAAAACTGTTGGAACTGGTTCAAAACTTCGAGGGCGAAATTTCTTGGGTAATATCAGTTTTGCAATAAATGGGTTTTAACATGAGGTTGATCTTACGACGACTTAATTAAATGACATGCTGCGTGTCTGTTCGATCTGACTCATCGAATGACTCAACTGCAATGCTTATGTTCTCGGATAGTAGGCATAACCCTTGGATCCTGTTTCGCAATAACTGAACAACGAAAAGAAAGAACAGAAAACAAATAAAAGGTAATGTGAAATACCCACTGATATTGAATATAAATATATAATCAATAATACTAATAAACCTTTCTTACTAATATTTAAAATACCCAAATAATTAATATTATCCTCCTAATATTCGATATTAAGGTGAATAAGGGATGAAAATATGGCCAGTGCAGGTAATACGGCCACGTACCGGATATGTTGTTAGCTGAAACCAATTCCAATTCATCGTTCTATCATGCAGATTTCATTGTTTTTGGAATTCTTCCGTGTTCCTGGATACAAAAATATTGACAACTCTCATATGGCCATAAGCTGTTTAGTTTTCTCTCAATTTCTCCGTACTTACGAAATTACTAATGCAGATTGATAAATCAATTACATGTAATATGGATCATTTTCAAATTTTATAAATTTGTATTTTGGATTTCAAATCGTTATTTAGAAAGCATCATCTTAATTAAAGTACATAATCTTTCGCAACAAGTTATTAGTACACCAAGGTAGAAGAAATGTAATTAATGAAGTTGTTAAAAGTACAAAATGCCCACCACACATAAAATTGCGAGACTCCAAGATATATCCTTTCCAACACTAATCTAAAAGGCCAATTGCACACATTGAATGAAGCCTGCCAACGGCTCTACCAACCTATTGAGTGTGCAATAACGCCAGTATACTGCCGCACCTGCATCCGGTCATCAATTCTTGGGACTAATTCAGCAAAGGCGCGTTGCGCAGAGCGATCGGCGTGGAGGGCGTCGCGTCGCACTCAGAAGGCAGACCGTTTGAGACGTCGGCACACGAAGCCAGTGGAAAAGAATGGCAACGTCCTACTTTTCTTGTATATTGTTGTCCTATAACATAAAAACTGTTGCCAAAACTTTCATTTCCACTTTTATAATTATTTCATTCTTATGGATTAGTTTATGTGGTTAATAAAGGGAAAATATCTACTATTAATGAACGATAAATTAATTTCAAAACTATTTTCAAGAAAATTTTCAAGTATTAAAATGCTGAATGCCGAAGTATTATTTTGTTTGTGAAGAGAATATATATTGACCGGTATTCCCGATAAAACAACAGTTTCTACTTTTAATTTGTTCCGTTTGTTGTCTCGCCAGGGCATCGTTCGCCTCCCACGTGCTCTCCAGCGCGGACGCCTGGAATGCCGTGTTAACACGAACCTGTCAAGTGGCTTGAAAAAATCCACGAAACGCGCCAGCGTCAGTGCGGTTCCCACGCGCGCACAGGATTCCCGCTCAGCGAGCCGCGATTTGCATCCCGGGCTCCTCCGAGCCGACGCGGCGCGACCGGAACGTTGAATGGCGACAGAAACCGAAACGCCTCCGAAAATAAAAACGCGATCAGGCGCGAACGCGGAATAACGAGATGAAGCGGAAACCGGTCGTCGCTGTCGCCGTCATCTGCGCCCTCGCCCCGGCGGCTGTCCAGCAGCGGCGCCCGCCGCGCCTCGCCACGCCGCGCCACGCCACGCGACAGCCCGCCCCGCGCTGCCAGGAGAGCTCTGCTCGCCCGCGACAGCTCAGGCACATCTCGAAGCATAACTTCAGGAGAGGTAAAGGGATTACGAACTCGCAAAGAAGTAGTTTTTGAATATTATTAACGGAACGCAATAAAAAGATGATTCACTGTTAAAGTGTTCAATAATATAATTTAAGGAGAAACTGTAAATAATTTTCTTTTGGAAACAATGAAAAGACCAGAAGGAATACAAACAGGAAATAATAATAAAATAGAGATTCATTAAGCTGATTTATAAGCAACATTTATAAAAATAAATGCAATGTCATCTCTGCGTAACATGTATAACCCACTGAAATGGCTTTCTTTTTAATTAGACAAATAGAAAAATTGGGTTGCAAACCAAGTCTTTATTTTTGCACATTTCTTTGTAATTGCTGACAGACATAAAGAGAACACAGTTTCTTCTTGAAAACTAAAAGAAAGGGGCTCTATAGTAATTGAATGTTGATGCCCAGAACTAAAATCGTAGGGCTGAGTCAAGTACGCAATCATATAAACATAATTTTGTATTTATAAATGACGGCACTAACACCTGCTGGTCCTGCCTTGCCTTCCTACGTGGGACTCCCGATTTCGTTTTCATCGCAACTGCCATGAAAAGAGAGCTAAACCAATTCAATCAAATGCAAGTCCGGTCACAAAGGACGGAAATTCAACATTGACAATGTCATCGCGTTCAATAACTTCAACTTTCAGATAAGGTGACAGAAATTCAGAAACCTATTCATTCGTATATTTATAATAATAATAATAATAATAATAATAATTATTATTATTATTATTATTATTATTATTATTATTATTATTATTATTATTATTATTATTGGCATTTAGGGCCATTACTGACAACGCTACAGGATTAACGTGTGTAATCTTTCCAGATGAGCTTTTCAGTTTATCACTCAGTACGACGAGGTTGTTCCTCCTCGACGTGTGAAGATTATAGGATGATGCGGGGCGAAGGAGCAATGTCCCTGTCTTCGCAGGACTCGAACCTCCAGCCTCCCCAGCGCACACGACGGCTGCCGGAATCGTCTGCGCCACGGAGCCGACTTCGTATATTTATTATTATTTTTTTTAGATTTATTTAGTCAAAAACAGTAAAAACTGCATGTGACGTGTAGGGGAGAAGTTCGTCTGTGCACATTTTCTTCAGTTTCAGAATCCCTTCCCATCATAAATCCCAACTATAAATAGTTGAAGGATGAGTGAAAGTTGAAGATAAGTAAATTTGAAAAACATTTAAAAGCGCGCGATTAGCAAAATTTGAAAAAACTAGTCTTTTTCGTTCCCGAGTTATAGAAAACGTATTTGCAATGGTAAACGAACTGCAAATTTGATTTTTCTGCATTACTAGCAAAATAATAATTCGCCCTTACGTCTATTCCTACCACTACAAACAAAAGAAGAGTTCAACAAAACGTGCGCACAGTGAAGATACATTTACGTCCAGAACAAAACGAAGAGACATCTCAGCATTTGCTCAATGTAACAGGGAAACTGGACAAAAATCTGATCGAGATAGGGGTCACTGACGCGGAAGCTTTTACATCTCCCCACCAGGCGTGAGCTCATTCAACTCTGTCCACTCGACTACATGACCACCGAATCTTAGTGGGAATACATCATACAAGGTTATGTGTTCACCGGCCCATTGTGCCAGGTAACAGGAGGCATTTGTGGCCCAGTCAGGCGCGTGGCAAATGCCCGCCTAGATGTAGCAAAGCAAACGAATATTTTGCCAAGCCGCCTGGACGCCTAATCTGCAGGGGCCCGTCGTGTAGTGGTGCCACTATTCCACGCAGAGGGGTGGAGGGGGGAGGCACGCACCTCTAGGTACAGCACATTGCTTTGCGTAGCCAATTCACCCATTTGACATGTAGTTGAATTGCGTGGCACTGTTGATGTTGGAAACAAGCAGTCCCAATCCAACAGTAATACGAACGCTCAAAACCCTCGACTCCATTTCTCAGCTGCCGTATGCATCTCGGCGGCGCCCCGAAGCCCGCGCGTGGGCTGTCGGATTAGCAGAGGAATTTGCAAACGCATCGCTCGCGATAGCAATCCAACACGAGTTTAATAAGTAGGATACACGGGATTTTTTTTTTTTGCCAAAATGGTTTTATATACCTATGACAAGACAAGTAAGCACAGTAAAAAAAGATGATGGGTTCTTTTAACGTTCAGTGAGAATGGAAACACTGAAAGGTAATTCGCCTGAATTTCCGCGCCAAGCGAGGAAGAACAAATATTCTGTCGGGCAATCCTTGTTTTGACGTATGTACGAGTACTTTAAGAAACATCATCGAAATCTCATCACGTTCATGATTTGATTGGAGGTGCGTTGCAAGACGAAATAATTTTTAATTTTCGTCCAATGTAACACGAGTTTGGACATCAAGTAACCGATATAAGAGTCGCCAAGAGAGATTCCTGGCGATGGCGGACGTAGGGTCGTTACTCTTGAGGGCACAAGCTCGGGGCGCGCCACGGTGCAGCAAGGCGAGCCCCTGCCGTATGCCGTCGAACGCCTTATCTGCGTCAGGTGGCCGCGAGAACCGCAAGGAACTGCAGGGCGAGACATTGCTTTCGCCACGGCGCTCACCTCAGGCACTACGAGATATTACATGGTTACTGGAAATGGGTTCGTGTTATTGGAGATTTTATTTCGGGTCAGTACGGGGAACAGTATGAGATACTTCCGTCATATCGTCGGCGCACAAAAACTGATACATTTTTAAAAACAATGTCACTTTGCAGGAGAACAGTTGTATGACGACATTTATTCTGCGCCAAGAGACAAATTGATTCGTTATATCTATGGGCTGTTTTATGAACTATTTTTATGACCTTCCTACCAGTAATAGCAAGTATTTCTTAAAAATTCTTCGTTTAAGTAAAAATGACATTTTTACAAATATTTTACTTTTTTCGGCACTCATAATGCGTCATTCGCAGTCATAAATTAAACACACTCTGTAATTAAATGAAAACATTGCGATGAAGGAAATTCAATTCCAATTGTGACGAGGGAACTAAGGCCTAAGAGAGGCCCTAGTTTACTGGAAATACCTAATTCCATCCATCTTGGAGCATTGAGTCCTTAGATTTACAACATACATCACTTCTTTTCCCTGTAGGATACAGTTGAAAGAAAATGTATTGGCCCCCGAAGCGATGCTCCCCGCTCGTTTGCTTACCTGGTGACGTTGCCGAAGAGCAGCGCGTCCATGGCGGAGGCGACGGAGGCCACGGCGCGCCTCGCCGCAGGCCACAGGACGCCGCTCCGCGCCCTGCAATCAACACACGCCTCGGTTGGCAGCGCGGCCCGGGGCCCAGCCACACGCGGCACCAGCAGGCGAGCTAACAGAACGACGTCAGTACACAACAATTGCATCGGTCGCGTAGGCTCCCGCGGCCGACGTTGCTATTATCTAGGGACGAGCCGGGTCACTGACATGGCGGATAGGCGTATTCTGGCCTTCCTCAGAGCGTGCTGCTGTACGCTCGTCTCGGGTTGCCTAGATAAAACAGTTGCATTCATGCGTGATCGCGATTATTCGTTAATGCACGCTCTAATGAATACAGAAACAAAATACACTGTTTCTAATTTTATGTATTTTGGACATGGACGAATAATTTATGAATGTTGCAACATTATTTGTCAAAATGTTTTTTTCTTCGAATGTATTACGAGCCAATTCAAAGTCCATTATATAGAACAAAGATGATCCAACAAAAAAGCATACATATAAGCTAAATAATATCTATGAAAGTCGGTGTAGATATTAAAAATACAACTTAAGAAGAGAAGACGTGTAATAGAAGTGTTCTGAAAATAGAATTGCGTATGTATAAGACGCAAATGAAGCTGGAAACTGAAAAATGATACTGACAAATTGCGCAAGGGCGGGGTCTACATCTCATAAAACGCTGAGTAGAGAACCAGTCTCTCAACGTGCCAAACGAAAATATATCTCGATCAAACAATCCAATATGGAGAACAGCTCGAGGCCAAGTTCTAGAATTTTGTTCGTGGGAATGAAGTCGTGGGGAAGGGGAATACGGGCTCCTTCCGAACACCCATCGCTTGGAATATAAAATAAAGATAAATGTAGGCGGGTGTCCACTTCTCATTGCCCAACAGCGACAAGTCTAATTCCAAACGCACTTTCACTCCTCGATCGGCGACCGCCCACGCGCCCCAGCAAGGCTACGTCTACTCAAAATGCAAATGCAACGGAAGAAAGCTGCAGCTTCAAAAGTTTCCTCTTTCTCACAGTGAGCATATTTGCGACTCAGAAACTCGCTTAAATTAAAAACATGCATAGCTGGCAAAATTGCAACAACATTAAAATGTACAAATTACTGTGATTAAAGCTCTGATGGGGCGGTTCTTTCAATATCTCGGTCAGTAAACGGGAATAAGAAAGAGAATCCAAAGAATATGAGCTACATTGGCTACATAATCCAGTTTTATAGTTTACGCAGAAAATTCCCAATTTAACTTCATGTCGTCTTTCTCGAGTATCTTGTATGATTTACTAAAGATACTCCGTGAGGTCACGCTATATTCAAGAGCTTGAAGTGACAAGTTAAGACGGCTGTTATACTTATGTCTCTCATATAAACTGGTCCCTTTCATGTGGTGAAATTCTTATTATACGAAATATTAAAAATATAAATATCTACTGATTTTGGCACACACAAATAATTCCTTCATCAACATATTACAAGTAAGGCAAATGACGCAATCACTGGAATATGCAACATAATCATGTGATAAGCCATCTCTCACTCAATTGTACGAAATGAAATAGATCACGTTCAATTAAGGGCATTGTCGTCCGTCAATATTAAGATTAATGACAGGAGACCTCATTGAATACTTTCAAGTTATGCAAATGGAAAGCAACGAAAAAAAATATGAGTGCGCAATAAATCATTTTGAAGACATGACAATGTAGCAATTTAAAAATACGGCAATGGTATTCTTTGAATGAATTGAATTGAATTTGCCTTATTTTACGTGGCGAGACTCGGCCATCAGCCCGCTCTCCCGCTCTGACCCACGCAAATTCCGCTACGCTCCTGTCACCAACACTAGGAGAGAAAGGAGGTATTTATTTGGCGAGAAACAGGCGAATTTGAACATTTAGCTGCCAGAGGCGTCATTTAGGCTTGAGGATCTTTTACATGCAAGTAAATTCCTACGAACATGGGACCAGCCGGCCCTTTACTTCCCCTCCGAAGGAAGGCGTCGAAGGATTTTTTCGCCCTTAAAAGATCAACGCTTCGATCGGGTTTGAACCCGCTAACTTGGGTACAACAGTCCAGTACGCTAACCGTTACACCATCGCCGCCGCCTATTCAATACAATTCTTCAATACTTTGTGCAAGTATACACATTTTCTTCCACAGTTCACCTGCATCGAGATCATAACATAGACAAATGCTTCCCCATATGTCCCACGATTTATAATGTTTCACTAGAAACAAATGCCTCATCTTAGTATTACAACAGTTTCTTGAAGGTCTCCATTTTGAAATGTTGCGAAAATTAATACTTAGAAATGTAGAATTTTCTTTTCGGAAACGTGGACTCGAGTGTAGCATTTTGCGATTTAACACAACATAAAGTTTTGAGTAAAAAAAGATCAGTTTCAACCTTTTTGATGTTGTTGTTAACATATGCGCATGTCTTCTTACAAGATGTATACAAAACATTTTAAAATATTTTAACAATTACATTGAATAAGACAAAAGGCAGGCAGTATCCTTGACGGAGTTATTTGTTGAATGTGTGAATTCGAAGATTTTGTTTTAACCTTGAATCAATTACAGATTTTTACTCGCCAAACACTTCACTAAACACGTAAATTGTACAAAATATATTGCAGACATTAAGGAATTTGATCCAACACACTGTTGTTGCCTACCTTGAATGAATAGTCGGAGCACAGAACTTCAACAAAAATCTCTTCAGTGACGTTCTTAAATCTTTTTGAAGTTTATAACATGTATTAATTTAAACGACACATAATATACATATTGTTGTACTTAACAGCGCGATTGGTGAAGTCAATGTAGTGGCCCCCTCGTCAAAGATGTAGAATCGTTAATATACGAATCTTTCTGACAGATTATGGAGATTTTTTAGAATACAGTCGTCGATCTCAGCAGAATTGCCGGCAAATCTTCATTTAACAAACATTAAACTTATTTCGAAAATAAAAATAATCGACCATTTTTCTTTAACAAATTTTATTAAACCAAAACAAACTTCTTGGGGAGTGAATTATAAAAAATATGTCACAAGGGCCTTCTCCACGTCGTGTACATTCTTCTGTTGGGTCGTCTAGTCATCCTCCAAAATAATAAAGACTAGCATCTGCTCTGGTCTTTTCCATGTTAGGCCTTCTTTGAAATACAAAAATACAAATTTGATATAGTATTTGCTATTTACTTTAAATAATTCTATGTAGTTGTCTCTTTTAGGAGAGAAATAACAAAATGACAAGATATATTTCAAATGTTCTCAATATAAGATTGTAATCAGTACGTCAGAAGTTTTAACCTTCCTGAGAAAGTTTATGGTCCCTGACTAAACAAAAAGAATCAGTAGTCCTCAATTGAATGTATGATTTTACTTAACTTCATTTTCATGATCCTCAAATTAAACAATATTTTTTAAATGTAGATATCGGTTCAAGGAACTTCTGAAGAGGTCCTATAGAGAAGCTCGCGGGAGGTTTCTGAACAGCTAAGAGGTGGCCGGTTTAGGCACGTGGAGTCCAAGGGCCTAGGTGCTCCAATGGCTCCCGCCTATGCCTTCCGTATGCAGCCCGCGTTCCGCCCCTTCCCCTGCCTCAAGCGCCCGCTCTGACGCGCGCGGCTGGCGGCGCCGGAGCGCGAGAGGGCGGGGGAGGGCGCGAGCGGCCCGAGAATTGCGAGCGGCGCAATTGCGTAAGCGCGAGAGCGAGCAGTCGCGGCCGCGCCGTTTTGCGTAACAGCAGCTGCGCGGCGGCGGCGGCGGCGAGGCGGCCGCGCCACCTGCTAGCAGCCGCCAGAGGGCGAGGATGTGGGTGAGGGCGAGGGCGAGGGCGAGGATGTGGGTGAGGGCGAGGGCGAGGGCGAGGGCGTGGGGCGAGAGCGAGGGGAGGGTGTGGGAATGCAGGATAGTGTGCTGTAGGCGTATGAGAGCAAGCGCGCGACTGGGCGAGGGCGAGGGTGGTGGGAGAAAGTGGGGTGAGGGCGAGGGCAAGGCGCGAGGGCGAGGGCGAGGGGGAGGGCGAGGGTGTGGGAGAGGAAGTGGGTGAGGGCGCAGGCGTGAGGGCGAGGGCGGGGGCGAGGGCGGGGGGCGAGGGCGGGGGCGAGGGTGTGGGAGAGGATGTGGGTGAGGGCGAGAGCGAGGGTCGGCGAGGGCGAGGCGGCGAGGATGTGGTGGGGGAGGCCGGGCGTGGGCGAGAGCGAGGGCGAGGGCGTGGGTGGGGGTGGGTGAGGGCGAGGGCGGGGGCGGGGGCGAGAGTGTGGCGAGGATGTGGTGAGGGCGAGGGCGAGGCGGGGGCGAGGCGGGGCGCAGGGCGGGGGCGAGGGCGGGGCGGGGGCGAGGTGTGGGAGAGGATGTGGGCGAGGCGAGGGCGAGGCGTGGGCGAGAGCGGGGGCGAGGATGATGCGTGAGGGCGGGGCGGATGCGGCTGCGGGCGAGAGCGACGGGCGTGGGCTGTGGCGAGGCCGGGTGGCGGGCGTGTCCGGGGCGAGGGCGGGGGCGGGGGCGGGGCGGCGGGGGCGGGGAGGCGACGGCGATGGCGGGGGCCGAGAGGAGGGCGTGGGCGAGGGCGGGCGGCAAGGGCGTGGGCGTGGGCGTGGGCGGGCGCGAGAAGCAAGGGGTGGTGGGCGAGGCGAGAGCGAGGCAAGGCGAGGGCGTGGCGGCGTGCGGGAAGGGGCGGGGGCGAGAGCGAGGGCGGTGGCGCAGAGCGAGGGCGGGGGGCGTGTTGCGTGTGGGCATCGGGCTTTCCGCCCCCGCGAGGCCTCCCGAGCGGCGCCCCGGAAATAGAGCTCCCCTCGCGGAGAAAGTGGTCGGGGGCCCCGCCGGGTGCTCCTTCGCGCGGCCAAAGGAAGCCAAAGTCAACATCGCCCCGCGCGAGGCGCTGCCTATTCTTAGGCCACACAAGGCAACCAACAGCACGCGCAAAACAACATGTGTAGCATTCTCAAACTGAACTTTTTAAAACTCAATAAATATGAGCAATAGCAACGAACACCTTTCGAAACATTTCTCTAAAGGAACTCT